TTGAAACTTGGCAGAAAAGTGAATTAAGTCGGCTTCTGCATTTTCAGTGTCATTTTGCCGAATTGTGCAAAAGTAAACTTCAGTTTTGTGCACTGAAAAATCTGCCTTCTTACCCACTGACCAAATTGCTTGTTTTTTGCTTAGAAACTCTAATTTTAATTGTAAAAATTGTTTTTTAATTGTCTTAACTGTATTTGGTGTTTTATATTTTTCTATATTTTTCAATTTGTAATAAAAGATATTTTGAGGTTTTATGTATTTTTGCTTTGTCATGAAGTGAGAACTGAATCAATTGAATGAGAAATGCATCTTATAAAATTCAAGGAAATAAGTTTAAATAAAATGCAGGAAAAAAAAAAAAGGCATGTAATTTAATATTCTGTACAAGGAAGTCATAAGTGTACACACCATATTTTTTAAATGTATAGAATACTCAAAGAAGAAATCTGTTCATTTATTAAAATATATTAGGGTTAGGAAAATAAAAGTTACTTTTATTTATTTATTTTTCTAAAAATACTCATTTGGAATGTTAGCAAACACCTCAAAATTTTTTAATGTCTGTTTCATTTTACAGAATCTATTTAATAACAACTAAAGTAAAAGGTTGTTAATTGGTAAGATATTAATAAGCAAATAGTTTAATAATGAAAGATGTTTCTTTAAAACTTATTCAAGTATAGCAAGTCCATATTTGCTTTTCTTTATAAAATGCATAAAAGTGAAATCCAAGCCAAACTTTCACTTTTATGCATTTTATCGTAGGATAGACAAGTCTTTGCTATTAAACACCTTGTGCTTATACATATATGTTGTGGGATTCAAAAGTTCGCGGACTGAGTGTATAACATAAAAATTTTTTACAGTAGTGCAACTACGAGAATGTTTTTGTGTTACTGCATTCTCCGCCTTTTCTAAAAGTGGTTTATCCCAAATCACGAGGTTGAAAGCTCGTGGCGACAGCATTTTTTGTAGACAGGTGCAACCGGTGATAGAAAGAAATGGCATCAGTTGAGCTGAGAATGAATATCAAATTTTGTATTCTCTTGGGAAAGAGTGCTACGGAGACTTTTGAAATGTTGAAAAATGTGTGGGGAAGTGAAATGTTATCGAGAATGCAAGCTTTTGAGTGGCATCGTTTCAGAGAAGGCAGGGAAAGTGCAAATATGAACACTGTGGTCGTCCGTGACTTCATGCACCCATGAAAATATCAAAAAGGTGTTTCTGACGGAACTTTTGAACAGGCAGCAAACAATTTGCCAAATACCAGAATCAGTTGGGATATCAGAGGCCATACGTCAGCGGATATTGACTTAGGTTCTTAACATGCATAGGGTGTGTCAACACATCGTTTACCACATGTTAAACATAGTCTAAAAGGGAATTTGAATGGAAATGGGGGGATCGGCTGTTAACAAAGATCTGTTCCTACTTGGCAGAATTGTTACTGGAGATGAGCAATGGTGTTTTTTGTACGACCCGCAAACCAAGAGGGCATCGGCCACATGGAAATCACTGCAGTCTCCATGGAAGCAGAAATTCCGTTAAGATCCCTCTAAAGGAAAAGTCATGCTAGAGGTATTCTTCGATATCCAGGGCATTGTGCATCTGGAATTTATCCCTGAAGGATGCACTGTGAACAAAGAACTCTACGTCGAAATCCTGTGCCTTTTGCGTGAGTCGATTCGAAAGAAGAGACCAAAAATGTGGGCTGAGCAGTCAGTGGGTGCTGTTGCATGACAATGCACCTTCTCACCGATCCCTACTCGTCAGTTGGCTATCTTGTGAAAAGGAAAACAACTTTTTGCTTTATCCTCCTTACTCACCTGCTCTCGCATACTGCGATGTCTTCTTATTTCCTGAACTGGCAAGACTCGGGGTCGTTGATTTCAGATGAAGTTAAATGTGCATCGCAGGCTAAGTTAAAAGGACATGGCCAAAAATGGATTCCAGACATGCTTCGATGAACTTTACGGATGTTGGCAAAAGTGTATTGTTGCACAAGAGTCATATTTCGAAGGAGGATGTTTCTGCAATTTAATTCATAATATTTTTTACGTTATAGACTCAGTCCGAGAACTTTTGAATCCTATCTCGTATACATCTCCTTATTAAGGGTATTCTGAAATATCTGTTTTGTATTTTTAGGTATTTTATGTTTGTAGTAAACTGTATTTATACATTGTTGCAGTCATCATTGATCTATACCTGTACTGTATCCTTAATCATACAGTGGTATAGATACTGGTCACCAAAACTAAAGGATAATGATAGAAGTAAAACGTAATTGATGCTTAGTGAAAAATTATTAATAGAAATTTATACAAAAATATTAGTTAACATATTACAATACTTGACAGTTGATTATTTGCAAAATAAAGAAATTAAAACTAAATTTATAGAAATTGGAAAATGATGGACAAATTAAGCCAACTCTTGTGGAAAAGTTTTTTGTTTACTATGGTGTATGGTCACCTCAGACAGATATGCATACTCACATCTTGATTTCATAGACTTGTTAGTCAAGGTCTTGTGAAATTGCATGCCACTCATTTAAAAGTGTGTTTTTCAGCTCGTGCAGGGTCTAGAGAATTCGGTGGGGGGGGGCTGAAATTCAGTGCCTTAAGGCCAACACTTATGCTTAGATGGGTGAGTAAGGTGGCCAGTCCATTTGAGTGATATCTTCTGTTTGCAATATTCTGACACTACATATACTTGATAAGGACATGCATTGTCATCTATTCCTAAAAACTTTGAGCCAACAGTACCTCTAAAGTCCTGATTACATTATGTTTCATTTACGAGAGACTTGACATCGAAAGAGACAATTCTCAGAACCCGCACATTTCCAGGAAACCCACATAGCTAGGTTATTTTCACTTATTACAAAGACTTGAACGCCAAACAGTAATCGATTATTGCTCAGATTGGAATCACATTATCCTTCAGATGCAGAACTCTCGTCTGATTAGATGTTCTCTACGGACAGAACTGCAGGCGAAACATTTTCAGCAACGTTTAAAAAAATTCCGTGTAGCCAGTACATTGTTTCCGTAGCTAGATGGGACACTTTTTTTTTTTCCCCCCTAGGAATCCTCCCGTTTAAACCAATACTACCAGAATCTCGTTTCTCAGAAAAGTCCGCAAAGAAAAATTTCTCAGAAAAGCAGGGACCGTCGCTGTATCTGATAACCTCTTTAGCAGTCTAACATAGAATTTCTGTAACGTTGTTCACATATCTCAGCAGTTACAGAATCTTCTTGAAATATATGCTGCTTGGTGTGGCCATTTGTCATGATTTCTCCCCAAACCATTAAATCGTAGTTGCTGGCACGAGATATTTCATGATCAACGGACAGCAAGTGTCGTATTCTTTCCTCACTTCAAATCAAAACTCATCTAGAATCACTGTTCAGGCTATATCTGGACTTGTCGGTAAGCAATACTCAGGCCTAGTCATCTTGGCTTCATTGAACATGTCAATAGAACAAGTTTAAATGGACGCCTCTGGAAGCTGGAGGAGCGAGTGGGACACAAACCATTGGGTTTCTCACATGCAGTCCAACCTCGTTAAGCCTTCATATAGCAGTAGAACAGCTAATTTGAGTTCCTGTGCCAAACTGTAGGTATAAAACCAAACTTCTCATAGTTGCTTCGTGGTTTCTTCTAGCCAACAATGACAGAAAACAGTCTTCTGATGCAGTTATTGCTCTTGGTCACCCTGCACCAGGCTGTGTATCAACTTATCAAGTACTTAAAAAGTGGCTCAAAACTCTTGATAGGACACTGTGAGGGTTTTTCAAGTCTTGGACAGCATCCACTTGTGTTTGACCTCCTTTTGATTCTACCAGTTAATGATCCGTTTTGACCTTTGCTTAAAATGATGGCTTTGAGCCATGACTACTGAATACTGATCACTCTCAGAAACTTGATTCACTTTAAACAACATTCCAGATCGGAATTCCAACATGTGTCCACTGTAGTCACCGAATTTGCATATTTCCGGCATTGTCAGTCACAGAATTTGCATATTTTGTTGTTGCCACATTGTCATTGACTGAATTTGTATATTTCTGGTCTTAATGCATGTACAGAAGTGCAATTTTTTGGTAAATTTTATTTAATTAATATAAATAATTATAGCATTGGGTACTAGATGCAACATTAACATAGTGAGCATATTTTATCTCATTATCCTTTCATTTTGATGACCAGTGTAATATTTTTATATACCGTCTGTCCAGATTTATTTCTGCAGATTTCTGCAGTCCCTTATTTCTGCATTTTAAATAAAGTACATATTTTATTTACATTTGTAGCAAATACACATTGTAATTTTATAGTTTACAAATTTCAAAAATAAAAACTTCATAATTGTTGTTGGTAAGTAGCTGATATATTCATCTTTTTTCTCATACCCCCCCCAATTATCGGCCATTTTTAGTTATTGTATTAAAGTGTAGATTTCATTCATTTGACTTAATATTTGTTGTTAAATGCAACTGCATATGTTGTATTTCATGTAGTTGATATAGTCATTAACCCTTTTGATCCAACTTTTGCATGATTAAAATTTATTTATGAAAATTAGTTTAATGTTAACATACTAAAGTGTAATATGAGTTTAAAGTTCTTAACTTTTCCAGTTTTCTGGAAATCTCCCGATCATATTGTGAACTGGGATTGTTTGTCCCAGTCGTATGTGATATTGTGATGATAAACTTGCACTGCATATGAATAAATAATAAAAAAGTGCAACCTGACATATTTGGCAAATAGGCCAGGTTTCTTTAGTCATGTATTTGTTCCCTAATTCCTTTAAAACGCTGCAATTATAAAAACCCATTTAAAAGTTGTTTTATTTACCCAATAGAGAATGAAATTTAATTTCTGGGATGTGTGTTCCCATTAGGAGCGAAAGGGTTAATTTAATGTTAAAAGTAACTGCAAATGTGAAAAACTGCCATTTTGATTAATTATTTTACCTTGAATCTTTGCAGATGGACTCCCATTTAGGCATCAGAATATGTCTCTCTCCACTGAATATGATTATCAGCAGGCTATGGCACAGCATGTTGCTGCTGTCAATGCAGCAAACAGTTCTTCAGTTCATTCAGCCATGGCTCAGATTCCCACACTGCCTGCAGCTCTTAACCTCACAGTGAACTCTGTTAATCAAGGCTATTCAGCTTCTGGTTTAGGCTCATCGTTAGGCAACAGTAATGCTGCCTATCACTATTCTTATGGATCTCTAGGATCTTCAGGGGGTGGTAGTGGTAGTGGTAATAGTGTTGTTGGACAGCATCATGTTGGACATGTAGGTCATCATCATCATGCAGGTGGTGGAAAATCAAAAAAGAAATATAAACTTAATAAAGATGGTATTCCACCTCCAAAAAGAGCAACTACTGCATATATTCATTTTACACAATGGTACAGAGAAGAACTGAAGCGAAGTGGAAGAGAAATACCTAAAGTAAGTGCTATTTTATAATACTAAATAGAGAAGTGTAATTCTTTGTAACTAAAGAAAATTTTTTATTAATTATACATTTAATATGGTGAATATTTTCATTGCGGTTGTCTGTGTAAATTAGCCTGTATTTTATAAGACTATAAAAAAGCATCGTTATTACAATTTTCAAGATGGCAGATTCCGAACTGGAGGGAGACTGTCAAATCTGTATTAAAATGGCCATAACATAACAATAGTGGCACTTCCTTCTTATGAACAGAAGGAAAAGAGCTTAGGCAGTGTTACCCATTGCTCTTCCTCCATTTGATACAAAGATTTTAAATAGTAATTCCCATGAAAGGTAAATAATAAATAAGTAGATAAGATCCCAAACTGACATCAAATATATAGTAGCAAAAGATCCCATCCCTAAATTCAGGATGTCGGTTAAATCATTAAAACTTCCCAATTGGATGAAGAACCAATTCAATCCCTCCCAAACCACCAAATGCAAACTCTTGACCAACCAAGAGTGCGATAGCAAGTCTTTAAAAAAAAAAAATAAATAAATAAGGAGGGCAGAGGTACTTTCTTAAGCCAAGTGGCCAGGTAGTGTATAAGAATTTGATATCTATTTTTTAAATTATATTCCAAAGCACAGCTATGAGAGGGCAATCCCTAAATTGTTAAAAAAAAAAAAAAAAACTCGCAGGGCGTCTTAATGCTTGTTTCTTGTGGTTTCAAATTCACCTTATCTGTAGGTGTTTAGTATAATCCATCAGGAACTCTATTATGCCAGAGAGCCCCTTAAATAGAAGTGCCTGATTGAAGCTGATATAGGAAAACCATTAAAATGGCCATCAAAATGTTCTAATTTTTCTATAAAACTATGGTGTTGAGCATAATAAGTAAATCAGAGTTGCATTTTCAGTTTATTACAGCAAAAACTTATTTTAATGTAAAATTAGTTAGTTTCTGAAACATTTAATTCTTTTTACATATGGTTTAGCATTCCTTCATTCAATGGTGAGCGGTAAAGTCGCTGAACACTGGTAGTTCGGTCCGAGGTTCGAATCCCGCAAACGGACTGGCTGCATGGGCTTTTTCGTGGTTTTCCCCATGTGTAACATGTATACGAGTCAGTTTCCTAAGAAAGTCTTCCACGAAGGCATCCCTCCCCTTAGGCAGATAGCCCTAGTGTGCTTAGCGATAATTAAATACACCACACACCACCTTCATTTCCTGTCTGTGTACTGTTGTACAGATTTGTGTTCAGATGGTGCTCATGGCCATAGAACAAAATTGGCTCTGTGCATTGTGTTTCTACATAGTATCATATTTAAAAATGTGTATGGCATTTGTGTGGTGTCATCTTAATTTTTTATTGAATGAAATGAGTAAAATATGCTTTTGAGTTACCATCAGCATAATTTATTCCATTTTAAAATATTTTAGTGTATATGATATTTATTTAATAATTAGTTGCTTGTTTTTAAATTGAACTGAGAAGAATTGCATTCAAAATTGCTGCCATCAGGATTGTTAAAATTGATTGCAGGGAAATGCTTTTTGCATTTACTTGAAAAGAAAAAAAAAAAAAAGGTAATTACAAATTTGACTTGTTTTTAGTTCGTTTAAGTGCTAATTCTTTTTCAGTGTAATCTAAACAATTTAAATCTTAGTGAGAAAGATTTTAGCTAAGCATAATTTGTGTTTTTGTATTCATCCACTGTTGTTATTGAAATTTTGGGTAGATAAACTGCACTTTATATGTGTTTAAAAGTTGAAAATTTAGATCTGTGGCATATCTACTGGAGCACCATATCAGAAGGAATTTTTTTTCCCTCTATCTTTGAAAACTTCTAGTATACATTGTAAGTTATAGTGGAATGGTTAAAATAAGAGTTGTGGGTTGGTAAAATTCACTGTGTCCTTTTAGCCTGATACAAGCACACAGGTTGCACTTATGCATTGGTCTGTGTTTTCCGATGGCTATGTTATTTTTAATGGCCCATTCAAGATTTTACTTCCCCAAGTTTTTACACGTGTCTCGTTACTTTGCGAATTTCTTATTGCTTACTTGTTGCGGTACTTATTTTATCATTCGTGCTTGTTGAATTTTTAAAATTGTTATTTTTATTATGGATGCTATTTAAAAACAGTTATACATCTGCTTTTAAGCCTTTCAGTGAAGAAAGCAATAGAAATTAGAAGTCTCACCACAACTAGAGAATATCAAGGTGAGGAGGGATGCATTCACCAGTGGAAATCTGAACAAAAATGAGAGAAAATGCCTAAGAGTAGAAGATCTTGTCAGCCTGCCATAACCTGGCCTGTTTTGGAAGACAATTTAGAGAAATAGACAACAGAGCAGAGAGAAAAGGGATTACCAGTGTCAACAGTTAGAATTCACCATCAAGCAAAAGTAATTTCTCAACAAATGGACATTAAAATATTTACTTGTGGACCTAATTGGTTTTCCAGATTTGTGAAATGAAAGAAATTATCTGTTAGGAGCAAAACAACAGTGAAGCTCCCTGTGGACTGGCTTGAGAAAAAGATAGCATTTTTGGACTACACATTGAAGAAAATTGAAGAATTAAATTTAAATAGACTGCAAATAATTAATATGGATGATGTGCTTGTAATTTAGTTATTACTATATTTAGTGTTATTTACTATTCCTGAATTGCGGGGAGCTATTGGACAAATGAAATGTAAAAAAAAGTCAAGGCCCAGACAATATCCATATTGAATTTTTAAAGAATTTTGGCGAAAACACCCTGAATATCCTCCTGAAGCTGTATAATAAGAGTTGGAACTCGAGTGTTCCTGCTGCGTGGAAAAAGACCATCTTGATCCCAATTCTTAAAAAGAACAAACCACAGCAGGATTTGGACAGCTATAGACCAATTGCTTTAACTAGTGTGTTATCTAAGATAATGGAGAGAATAATTGTTTCCTGTCTTAAGTGGTACTTGGAAACCAATGGCTTAATATCTTTGAAACAAGCGGGATTTATAAATTACCATTCTACAAGTCAACAAGTCGTATTCTTAAGGCAGTCAATTAAAGATGCACTTGATGAACGAAATTCGGCACTGGCTGTTTGCATATATTTTCAAGCAGTTTATGATAACGTTTAGAGGTTAAAGGCTGTTCAAAATCTTCAGACATTTGGTGTTGGCAGAAAAATGTTCCTTTGGGTAAAACATTTCTTGACCCAACGTTTTTGTGCTACTCGTTATGGCATCAGCACTTCAAAATATAAACAAGTTGAAACAGGGCACAGTTATTAGCTCGCCGGTTTTTCTCTCTCAACAGACAACACTTTACTTCTAGACTAATGTATGAGAAGTCGGTGTTGCAGCAGACAAATGGTGCCTCTTATCTTGTCTGCATTTTTGACAAGCGCTTAACCTGGAGATAGCATGCAGAGCATGTAGTTGCTAAGGCAGAGCATAGATTACCTATCCTTAAATGCTTAGCAGGTGTTAATGGGGTTGTGGTAGAGAGACTCGTAATCGACGTATAAAATGTATATTCGACCAATACTAAATTTTGCTGTGAGATATAGATCTCGGCTACGCGAGATGTGATACAACGTCTGAAGGTATTCCAAAATCAGGCACTGTGCATTATAACCAGGGCTGTTAAAACGACTCCAATTTTGGCAATGCAGTTGGTATCGGCAAACCAACCAGTGACAAACTGATTCAGAAAAATGCTTTTATCCTTTTCCAGAGACTTATTCGTCTACCAAGTAACCCTCATTGGAGGAATTATAATTATAATAAACAACAAAATCTGAAGACACACAAAAAAGGCTTTCTACAGTGTGTCTCTCGCCTAGAACAAGTACAATAAGAACACTAAAACCGGCACTGCTGTTTTTGCTAAATTCTTTGGATTATAGCCTCTTTGATGTGCTGTTGGACCTGGAAATTAAAGTAGATAAGAAGGAAATGAGTCCAGAGCAAATAAGAACTATAGCTTTGGAAACAATTGAGTAACGTTTTCCGGCTGAGGAATGGATATACGGATGGCTCTTTGACCGATAGGATCCAGGGGGCTGGAGCTGAAGTTTTTGGCAAGCTTTTCAATTTCTACATACCTATAGGAGCTTACTCCACTCACTTTGATAGAGAACTGAAAGCCATTCATGTAGCTCTCCAACAATTATCACTGAGACAGAGCTCGTTCAGGAGGGCTGTTGTACTGTCTGATTTGACTCAGCAATACAGGCCATCTTCTGTTACCAAGAGTGTAAGAACATATCCATTCAGCAGTGTCAGGAAGTGATAAAAGAACTTTCCCACAAGACATCTTTTCAATGGGTACCTTCACACTGCGGTATTTATGGGAACGAGATGGCTGATATGCTTGCGAAAAAGGGGGCTACAGTTCTCCAAAAGCCAAAAACAAGTGCAAGCTTCCATTCCATTAAGATCGCTAACATATCAAAAGACTTTTAGAGATTTTGCCACTCAAGGCTTGTAAGGGCAAGCCTTGAAGTGTTCTCTCAACGAACCCAGCTTTTGTTTCTGACCACCCGTGAACAGTTGTGGTTGCATCTTTTAGACTATTGACAGGACATAACTGTCTACAGAATCGTTTATTTCGCATTGGACTAGCTGATTCACCATTGTGTGTTTTATGTAATAGTGGACGGCAGAACAATCGGACGAATGTGAAGCACTGACAAATTTTTCTTCTAGATTTCAGCGCTATTGGCAAACAAGGAGTTTAATGGCCTAACGGCCATTGTAACTGGCATTTGACAAATAAATTGTGCTGTCAATGAAGTGCAGTTAACTCCTTTGGTAATTTTCAAAATAAAAAACTAGAAAAGAAACTTCTGTAGAGGTGTCATCATGTGTGCCAACACAGAAAGATGGATTTGTGAAGTAGTAATACTGCTTTGGCTGAGAGAAATTTATCAAAAAAGGAATTCTGGATTTAGTGCAATATATATATTACATACTGTAAAATCTATAGCAAAAAAACTTAGCAGCTATATC